AAACATGTCGGGACAAAACCGCGTGTCGCGCAGCATTAGCCCGAACGAAAACCGGGAGTCCCGGTTTTCTCGCGAACTATTTTACTTGTGTCCCGCAGTCATTCCGGCGGGACACAATTTTTTCACCGGCGGGACTTAACTGCGAATGTCTGAGTGCCACGCGGCTGCCTAGTGCGGACGCTATGATGACTCATACGCGCGATTGCCATGTTGGCCCGCAAAAGACATGCTCGCGGGCTTTTAGCCCAGGCGATTCCCCGTACTCAGTTATACCTCACCTGCAGCAGAACTGCATCATATTTCTAATACACAAAGTGCCACGATATGCTACTATGATAAGTCATAGTAACACCACGTTTTCCTACCAAAAAATAAAATGCAGATCCAAAGTCTTTCCAAAAGTAACTGTAAACTTTTCTTTGAGCTGAAATTGAGATGCATTGAGTAATCTAAATTTGGCTGAAGGTCAAATTTAATCGAAAAAGTTTCAGATTACATTTGATGTAGCACTGCTGCTTCTTTCAACAAGTTTGGAACCGGAACCATTAGAAGGCATATGAATATGTTAGGTAGGTGCAAATAGTTTTCTCAATTTTTTGGACTCGCAAGTTTCATAGAAACATAAACAAAGAAGGCTGATGGAGAAATCCGGTAGATTGGTAGTGCGAAGCATGAACGTGGACCATTTAAGCAACATCAGTAACGCTGTTCTTTGTTACTGAAACGTGTCTTTTTCTGCGGCTACGTTCTCAACAGCGCCAAGCGTTTTGATGAGATCCGCGACCCTTACGACTCTACCCCCAATACCCATCCGATACCCATGCGCACAACCCTTCCTCCCCCTCACCTCACACCCTGCCTTCCTTATTCCCACGCTTTTGCAGTAATCTGCATGTCAGACCACTTCAAAGGATGCTAATGGACCTTGATGAAAGTTATATCAGAAAAAGGAAAATCTATTTACTAATTGAAAGATAATTCGAATAATGCTTTTGTTCCAAAATCTCCCAGAATAATTCTCTGCGTAAATTGGTTAAAAATGCTACAAAGATCTGGCCGTAGTGTATTATGGTTGCCACAAAATGGATGGTCTTGAACAAGGAAATACAGTTTTAGTATGTTGCCGAGATTTAAACTGTAAGAAACCTGCAACGCTGAATTATAGACCAGAAATGAAATAGATTAACGATTAGGAATACTTCAGAAATATAGAAATTTGCCTCAGTCGTTATAATTGACCAGTGCAAACCTCTGCATCGCAGTTCTCACTGACCATCATGAAAGGTATTGCCTAAACTCACGAGCCTTTCAAGCAAGAGAACTAATTAAGCACAAAAATGAACCTTATCTGTTGTGCAGCTCTCACATGCACTGAAGCAATGTAAACTATTTCTCATTGTAATTTTGTAGCAGGCCAACTTACCGACCAGCAGATCAGCGGCTTATTATGAGTCATGATTAGTTTATAACAATTTATTTTATAATGGCAGATAATACTTTCTTTCGCGGTTTATGAGTGTTTGGCATAACTCATTCAAATTTTAGTGAATTTATGAGAAGAAATGCATTATGGTTCTAAAAAAACGTTTTAGACTATAATGATGGTGTTGAGTCCGATACCTTCTGCGGCAACGTTTTGCAAGGAGAAATTCTAAGAGAGCGTAAAGAAGATGTTTACAACTGCGAAACTTACTTTTTAATTTTGCAATGTGAATAAAGCCATTTCAGAGCCTTCCAGGACGATATCAAAAACGTGCATATATAAGCGCAGTATTCGAAAATTCATAGCTAAAGTCAGGAAAAGGCTGGGAGGCTGCATTAAAAAAGTTGTGTAGTCGATTGTCCTGACAATTGAAGAAAAACTTGCAGGCATTTAGAGGCAGTGAGCAAACCCACAAGGAATGGCCAGAAATTCGAGTAGTCAATCCAAAAAAGCTGCATGCTGCAAAAGCTCCAAGCTCATCATGCAGCATGAAACACTGTCTCTGAATCTGTCTTCCTGGTCTGCTGAACACTTTTGTAATTTATAACCCATTGAAGGCAATTGTTTTGCTAAGAAGTTATAGAACAATTCAAACGTACAAAGCCATGCTCGCCTTAATGTTAAACCACATTCAGATAGGCTACTTTAAATGGCCCTTACATAACTAATTTGGCAATGATAAGCTTGATTTAGTAATTTTTATGAAGGTTTTCTGTCGAAACAGAAATGCTCATGATTTCGTCTACAAAGAATGTTTAGCAGATATGGAAGATAAAATTGAAATCAGCGTTTTATGCTGCATTGAATGGTATGCAGCTTGTTTGGATCAGTCACTTTGACTTCTGACCATTCCCTTGTTAGATGCGACTTCTAGCTTCTCTAATGCGACCTTGGAAACCAAAAACTGGGATTTTGAGCATAAAACTTTGTAACTCACTGTAGCCCTGTCGAATGATTATTTAAGCCACTTCAGCTGAAGGATAGGTACAAAAAGACGGCGGTTGTACTAAAAACGGTAAAAAAAAATTATGAGACACCCTAATACAGGGTGTCCCAAAAAAATGTTAACACTATTTCATCGTCAATAATTTCCTTGCTTTCATGTCTTTCGCCGAGATTAAGGCATCATTTTATAGAGCGAGGTTCAACTTAGATCTACAGTATGGAGCAAATCATCGATCACTCTTCATTACTAGGGATTACGGTAGAAACTTCGACAAGGATTTTAGGCCGTTAGAGGCCATGTACATCCTCGGAACAAACCGGAACAAACCAAAAACTCTTGCACTGTGGTAATGGAAGCCGCTGATTTCAAATGTGAAATTTCCACTCAACTGTGACGCTCCTTTCTAATGTTATTCTAGGTAAACCTTAATAAACTAATTTTCAGCATTTGTCAAAAATGTGATTACACCGTCAAAAAAGCTAAAAACGCTCGTAAAAAGTTGTATAGTGGAATCAGCGTGCGCGAAAACCCTAGTATAGATTTTCCAGATTTTTTGAAAAAAATTCTGTGAAATGGCATACACAATGGATCCACATGCTAAAAGTTCATACCGTAATCACACAGTAACGAAGGCAGGTCGGAGTTTTGCTTCATATAGCAATTCTAAGTTGTACCTCGCTCTACAGATTGGTGCCTCAAGCTTGGCAAAAGACATGAAAGCAACGGAGTTATTAACGATCATACAATGTTAACATTTTTTGGGACATCCTGTATAAATGACCTTTTCATAAAGTTTTAGCTGCACAAACGGCGCGCTCAGCCACATACTGCAACTGAGTTCACTAATTTCTCCCAGTTCTACGTCACATCCTTAACCTATCTCTCGTCTATATCGCAAGCACCTCCCACGTATTATCAAGCTCACTCACCCTGACCGCTTATATTCATTCCCAGCCGCGTAATGAGAGTGCTAATCAGGTCTTCCCCAATTATTGTTTTTCTTAATCAGCAGCCAAATCCTATTACATTACAAGCTTCTTATGTATGAAACTGTGTGGTGTTGTGTGTGCCTGTCTGGTCTGTCTGTTTGTCTATCTGCCTTGCCTGTCGTCGTCTGGTCTGTCTTTCTGTACATATGTTTGCTGTAAATAGAAATTTCCATTTCTGAACCAATCCGGACCAAACTTTGAACGCATAAACTTCGGGCGAGGCGGGTGTCGTAGGCTAATTTTCTTTTGTTATCGGTCGACATCAATTTTATCAATTTTCCAAAGTTGAACTAAGGGGCTGGGAGATGGCAAGGGGGTATGTGAGCATGTTGTTTACGAAGACAATATTAGTTTTTTTTACATCGACCAGTCATCGATTTTAACGATTTTTTTCAAAACTTGAGCTACGGGACTGAAAGTTCTTACAGGAGGTAGGTGAGCATGCTGATTACGAATACAATATTAATTGTTAAAGTTATATATTAATTTATCGATTTTTTGCAAAGTTTTAGCTAGGGCGATGGGAGTTGGCACACAGAGCAATTGAGCAAGTTCTACAAATACAACTATTAATTTTTAGAACTATAGCTTTTGCTACAACAACATCTTTAGACGCGGACCAATGAATATGAAAAAGATAGTTTCGCCAACAACACTAGTAAAAGAGAAAAGTAAAAGAGAAACGCAGCTAAAAAGGTGAAAACGATAAGAAATCCAAGAATATCTTAATTGCGATAGATATTATTGAAGAGGCCATCATTTAAGTAACTTAAAATTCTGTGACTTATATGCCACTTGAGCAATGAAGTAACGTACAGTATTAGTATGAGATATCACGAAGCTTTGGGGAAGTCCGCATGTTTAATTCCCGAAAACTTCCACATTTCGGGGAGCTACCCTGCTGCTCTTGTCTTCATTGTCCTGGGGATGTTCCCATTTTTCACCTCGTTCAGCCTAGTACTAAATGAAGGGCTTGAATAGTTTGGCAAATTGGTTTCTTCCCAGGAATTGGAAATTTGCCTGATGAGCGTATGCATGTGAAGTTTGATGCCGATACAAGTAGAATTTTCGGAGTGTAAACACATAGCAGCGACCTGTTTCCATATAAAAAAAATACTTACATAGAGCTTTAGATTCGTATCTCTATCTGATGAATTTTAGTACTAGTCTAGCATGTGGTTTCAGATTTCTATGCATGATTAGCTAAGGAGCATCCCTGTTTCAACCAAAACCCAAAGTTTTACCGAATCTTCCGCTTCTTTGCTACTTCAAATGAAATAAGGCCAGAACTTGCCACGATACCGCTCGACCACATTTAGCGAGTAAAGCATTCATTTTGTAAAATTGCGAAAACCTGACGTGGCGCCGATGGTTTTCTATTTGGATAATGCGGGATGATTCTTTGATATTGAACAGTTAGAAGGATAAAGCGTTGATACTCTTCTGAAACATGCAAAGAAGAGGCAAGACATACTTAGAGAAAACTGTGTTTTGGGATATAAGTGCTCACGTGCTAGCGATACGTTCCTCAATGAAGTTGGCTCATACTCGAGCTCAATCGGTCTACACACGTATTAAAAATTTATTGAAAACCAGTTGCCCTTTCTGGACTTCCAGATAAAGTCTCATTACTCTTAGGTCTATTCCTGCAGTACTGCTTTTTCTGGTAGATCTTACAGCTCGACTCCGAGAAAAAAGTCCTTACTTTCCTTCCCCTTCTCAGGACCACATCACAGTCTCCTTGAAGAATGGCGCCCGCGTTGCCCTCGCCTATGCTCACTGATCCTTAAGTTTGTGTATGAAGAAAAAGAATTTATGATATGATGTAATGTGACGTGATATAACCTCCCAACAAAAATTGTTTCTCTGGCACGAGCAGCTCCTTGCATGCATCCTTAGCGTTCTTTCTGTACACTACAATTTTGACTCGACTGCACATCTCGGTCTCATTTACAAACGTCTGAAAAATTTATATTAAAAATAAATCCTTGGTGCATTAGAGGCATACCCCGTTTTTTTTATCAGTACGGAATTATGTAGCTGCCAGGCAACATACTCATGACTATACTGAACAGAATCAATTCTGCTCACTCGTGCGTAGACCACTAAAATTGAATCTCTCTACATAATATAAGAATGGTGTACAGCTACTGTCTAGACTCGTAGCCTCTCCTTGTAGATTCCCATACTTCTTTACTACAACATGGCAAACTCTAACTGTAACGCTCTCAGATTCATCTGTTGTTTGTTGCATTCAACTTTTAACCAGGGCCCGGCATAAGATGGCTTACGGAGCAGGGTGAACGTTTTGGGGAGGGGTAAAAAGTAAAGAGTTTCGTTTTTGTGAGATCCGGAGTGAAGATCCGTAAAAAAGAATATCTCTTTGATGTATATTAACACATTGACGACCGCTTGACACACATGGTGTGTCAAGCAATGACTACCGCGTGGGACCACTTGACACACCATGTGTGTCAAGGCTTGAATTTTGTCAAAATAACTACTATACTTTGATAAACACACTCTACGAGCTTTCTTCTGCACTGAGTCTAGGGATGACCTCTACCGTTATTTTCAGTCTTTCAGATCTACTGTAGGTGTACTGTAGATGACAGTATGCGTAATTATAGTTGAAAAAGCGAGCTGATCCGTAAAAAGACCTTGGTCCCAAAAGGCAGACAACTAAAAATTTGCATGGTCGTCAATGTGTTAATAAATCGGCGATTCCTTCGTGCAAAGTTGGAGCCTCAAAGCGACGTTATCAGAGAAAACCTTCTCATTACGCAAGGCAATATATTATTGAATTTCTTTGAAAAAGTCGACCAGGTACAAAACTTCGAGGAGTTATTCAACTTGGGGCCCATCTCAACGAGTTTCTGCAGTACTCCACCTGACAAACAAAACTTATACTGTCGCTATTGTTACATGAATCACACATACATACTTCCGACTTTCATCCTCATTCCCTCCCCAATCTCCTCTCCTTTTTTATTCCACCTTTTCATTTTCTGAAAGCGTCTCAAGTGTCCATCAGAAATCGATCGATCCCATTCTCGCAAAGATCAAAGATCCCCCCCCCCCCCAATATGCTCTCCGTAAAAAGCGGGAGTTCGAAAATATGCCAAGAAATAAAAAAAAACTTGTTTGCAACGAAGAGGAGATGATATGATACCAACGTATTAGGGAGTTGAAACTGTGTATGAAATTTACAAAAAAAGTTGTGTGAACAAAAGGAGTGACAAATTTTTTTCGAGGTTGGGTTGCTTTCGGCCACTTGAAGGGTCACCCTGAGGTGGCTCAAAGCAAACAAAGTCATGAATTCCCCTCTCTGCACAAATTTTTTCGTACTTTTCACTCGTTCTTACAACCAAAACCCTACCAATGAGTTTCAATCCCATCAAAACCCTCTCATCACTGCTTTGTTACAGCCCCCCAAAAATTCTGCATAGGCGGGAATCGTGCTCCAACGGCGCGTTGGTGCGCGCCGAATACGAACAGCATTGATTCTCCACATCGGTGTTTGACGTTCTTTTTGTATTCTAGTCTATTTTCCTTTGTTATTCATGCTTAGTTCCTTCATTAGCATGTCATGGGTGCTGTTTTTCTTGCGAAGTCAAAGAGAGTTCTCTCCCAAAAATTGCTGGAGCCACCTCGTGCTGAGCCCTACTTCTCGCAGGGATTCAAACTTAGTGAAATGTCTGTTCTTCTGGCGTGAAAATGAAAGTTTGAAGAATAGCCTCGAGAAATACTTGCATTTTTTCGCACTTGCATTTTTTCAGTATACATATAGAATCACGAAACTGGTGAATTCAAACTTAACACTTGCATGATTTAGGACGGTGACAGTATTTGATGACTAAAGATGCTGGGCCATTGGAAAGCACCATTTCGCATTCTGCGGCCCAGACAGCGACTGCCATTACAATAAGAGTTAGCATATCTGAACTACAAAATCACAGTTCAAATTAACATTTACAATGCTCTATACTGACAATGTCGAGAAAAGGTAAAAGAAGTTTAGGTTGCTATTGAATTTACCAACCAGGTCACTACACTGTGTCTATAGCTCTTTTATACATTGTCGAACCGCTTTTTCAATTTTAAAGCAGAATTTGGTAAACTTGTGTTTACAGTGAGATTTTTCGTTTACAGATTTGTCCATTGTATTGCATTTCACTCTTTGGTACTCGTAGGCGGTTGTCCCTATTTGGTATCAGCAGTGCACTTACGAATCAGTAGAGACTGAATAGACTGAGTGATGAAATACGTGTTATTTTTATGTTGAAATGACCTTTTTCCACGGGCACTGCTATCACCCTTTGGATTAGATAACATTGCCGAATTTGCAAAAAAATCTGCTTATAGAGCGCTGTATAGGTGTGCATGCAAATCTAAAAGGATATTAGTTCTTTCTGAAGGTGTGACACAAAGGCTATTCAATAATGATGATCATCGCCATTCATAGTCATGGGTTAGCACTTTATGAACCATATATCCAAGCAATTTTAATTACCTTCTTCAGTAAAGGCCTCAAGAACTGAGGTAGCAGTGGCGTTCCGGAACATTATCAGGAAGGAGCACAAGAGAATTTTACCCCTGCGCCACGCCTTAAAAATTTTTTTTCAGATGCGGTGCATGTCGGTAGCGGGTAAGAGTTCAATCCACAAAGTTACACTTGTTACACAAGTTTTAATTTCAAATCTCAAAGATTTACAAGTTATTTTTACTATTTGCAAGATTACAGAAAAACTCGCAAAATTTATGTTAATCCATATAGATTGATTACAATGATTTCGCGAACCATAGGCACTAAAAGCATTTTTTAAATGCGCAGAAAGAAAAAAGTAGAGGATGTTTTTTATGTGCTGTATAATGTGCAAATTTGAGTTCGGAAAGACGGAAAAATAGAGCTATCACTGAACAGTTCAAATATTGTGGAATTATGTACTCTTACCATGTATCTATCGACAGCGGTAAAAGTCAATTGGTACATCACAACATTAGCTTTCTGTAGCTAATTGTTAATTTGATGTCACGATATGTTCTCAATTTTAGTAGCTTTTGATATCCAAGCGACTGTTTGAAAATTGTCCTGAATATTTTTTGGGCTGTTATCCATATGGATTCACTGGAGAGCTTTGAAGCTGTACAAAGCTAAGCATTTACGCTTTTTTTCTTCACAACCTTCTTTTGCGAACTCATAACTAGACGTTGCGTGTGACATTCTACTATTACTTATCGCTACTATAGTACTACTGTAGTATTAGTCGGAATAGTTTTCGCTTTTGGTGTTCACTAAACTTTCGAAAAAAATATTTCGAAATGTGTGGTTTTATAGACAAGGACCATAAAGCGGTCACATTCAAGCAAATTTTTGTTCTTCTTTAAATCCACATACACCGTTTCAGTTTATCAATGAGAGTCGAGGCACGCTATAGTTGACTGCACGGAATCGCCCGGACTAGGGCCCGCGAGCTGTCTCTTGAGGTCTAACATTGGCATTCGCGCGCATGAGTCATCATAGCGCCCGTACTCGGCAGCCGCGTTGCAGGCACGCTCGCGTGCGTTGAGCCTACAGAGACTTGGGCGACTTCATGCACTCGACTTTAGCTCATTCAACATTTTATAAATGTCTTCGAATTTGTGCTTTTGATTCTAACTGCCTTGATATGAATGAAACAGTGTATGTGAATAAAAAAGGGACGAAAGATTATATGAAAGTGATTATTTCGTGGTCTTTGTTCATACTACACATGTTCTAGAATCAGAGTGAATGAAACTTTTGTCCATGTGAAAGATCATGAGTGTGACAGTGTTAAAAATGCACTTATTTGCAATTTTTTTTTGCAAAAATCTATGCGCGGAATCCTGAAGATATCAGGAATCTAATATTTGTGACTAACATGCCAACTTATGCTACTCTAGCTCTACCGAATTTCGACAACAATCTTTCATACCATTACGTTAATGGATACAAGTCTGCTTATTTCCCGAATACGGTAAATTTCGGATAAAACTAGGCAAGAACTATTTGTTGTTGTTATGTTATGTTTTTTTTGTTATGTTCCTATGTTAATTTTTAAGTCCGAACCTCGAGTTAGTATTCGTTACAAATGCGAATTCGTGAAATTTTTTCCGAACTTGTCTTCAAAGTTACACGGCATAAAGTCTCCTTTTCAGTGTTTTTGTTGCCCTCCCCTTTTTCGGTTTTTGAAAACAACGAACTGCATTAACTGTTGATCATCTTCCACATTCCTCCGCTTAAGGTCACCTGTTCGTTGCTCAATTTTGCTTCCGACTATGCGCATTATGTCAGCTATTGAGCGCAATACATTCAAATCTTATGACGTTGTGGGTTATGTAAAAAGTGCGTGCCCTTAGCGAAAAGAGACAGCTGATTGATGGATAAAAATCGGAATAGGATGGTGAATCAAGCAAAAAACATGAATTTATTTTGGATTATGATTGAAAAATAGCAAAAATTGATCAGGATAGCTGTAATCAAATCAAAGTATTAGGTTGTCCGGAAAATAATGTCGCATGGCATCCTACCGCGACAGAATGACCACAAAAAGCAGCGAGTGGAGTATTTTTTGATAGAGCAAAGCAAGCTCTACAAGATAGTTTACAAATCTCCGCGGCAGTCGTGCTTCACCTAAACTTCGAATCCAAAATATAAAAAATATATCCGAAAAATCGTATCTCCGTTAATAGACGTCTCAAGGATCTCCAAATTGCACAGGCATGTACTCTCTACATTAGACATTTTATTTTTTTTTTACTTTATTGTTACATAGGGTTACCCCTATGTGCAAAAACCGAACAACAGGAACAAAAACTTAACACAAAAAAAAACATTTAAACAACGCGTAACGATATGAAGAAAAAAAGACCAGCCTGAGGTATGAAAGATCAAACGCAGCTTTTTGATTGTAAGTA